CGCTCTGCCCCATTGCCTGCCCCATTGCCAACCCCACTGCCCTGCCCCACCCCCTCACCCCCCCGCTCTGCCCCATTGCCTGCCCCATTGCCAACCCCACTGCCCTGCCCCACCCCCTCAGTTCCCTGCTCTGCCCCATTGCCAGCCCCCCTGCTCCGCCCCCTGCTCCACCGCCCAGTCCGCCTGGCCCCCGCTCTGCCCCATTGCTGGCCCCACTGCCCGCCCCGCCCACATCGTCTGCCCAATCGCCTGGCCCCACTCCACTGCCTGGCCCCGCCCCCTGCTCTGCCCTACTGCCCAGCCCCGTTCCACCACCTAGCCCTGTGTCCTACCCTGCTTTCCCCGTGCTCCTACCCCACTGCCTGGTCCCCCTGTGCTGCCCCACTGTCCCCCACTCTGCCCCACTGCTTGGTCCCACTGCCCGGCCCCCCTACCCCACTCCACCGCCCCCCCTGCCCCGCGGCTCTGGTCATCAGCCCTGCCCCTTAGCTCTTCTGCCAGCCTCAGCCTGCTCCTCCGCTGGCCCTACCCCCCAGCTCTTCCCTCCTGTCCCACTGCCCAGCCCCCCAGCTCCTCCTGCCCGACGGCCGGTCCCACTGCCCAGCCCTGCTCCCCAGTCTCCTATTTGCCCTGCCCTGGGGGCCTCCATCCTCACGCTGTCCCCCAGGGTGCTCTGTTATCCTCAGCATCTGTCTTCTGCCTTCTGTTCCCAAGAGATGCTCAGGCCCCTCCTCCACAGCGCTGGGCCCCCATCCCTCAGAGGGCTCCCCATGCTCCCTGGTCCCCCAGCTCGCTGGGGTAGTCAGGACTTGCCCCCATGTTGTTAGTGACCCATACTCGTGTGTTACGAGAACCAGAGAGTTGGATCTGGGCCTGTAGTGAGACAGGGTGGGCAAGATGCAGTAGATGGGGAGGTCATCTGGGGGGAACGCGGAGCTAGGAGTGGCAGCCTTTCTCCTAGGCGGATGGGCCAGCTTTCAATCCTCCTTCGACACACGTTGTCTGCACCAAACACATCCCACCACCCCTGCAGCCGGAGTCATTCCGGAGTCATTCTGGAGTCGCGTAGTGCTGAGTGGGAGTGGGGGGGCACCAGGGGTCAGGTGTGGTTCTGGGTTCGGGCAGGTCTGGGTGGCTTTTCCTCGGGGGGGGGGTCTATCCCGTGCTGTTGATTCTGTTCATAATGTGAATAATTTCAAGTAGTCATAAAAAGTAGCAAAGAGGCCATGGAAGAAATACAGAGCGGTTCAGTACACCTGTGCAACCCGCCCTGTGCTGCCTCCACCCTCGGGTCAATGAGACTTTATTGGCACAACAAACTCTCCAGGTATTGTCAAAGTGTCTCCAGAATCTGTCTCGGGCAGGTGCGACCTGCCCACTGTGGGGTGTGCACTACACTGTGGGACTAAGCCCCTCTGCCATTTGTCATTATGTTCATTCATGGGTTGCTACATAGTGCCATCCCCATCCTCTGGCTCCTCTCTCCCCACATCGGGCAGTTTTTCCGCATTGCCCTTTGAACAGACGTCTCTTCTGATGCTGGATAATCAGCGGAGAGATTTTTCTCACACTTCATTATATTCTAGACCGGGGTAGGCAACCCATGGCACGTGTGCCGAAGGCGGCACGCGAGCTGATTTTCAGTGGCACTCACACTGCCCGGGTCCTGGCCACTGGTCCGGGGGGCTCTGCATTTTAATTTAATATTAAATGACGCTTCCTAAACATTTTAAAAATCTTATTTACTTTACATACAACAATAGTTTAGTTCTATATTATAGAGTTATAGAAAGAGACCTTCTAAAAACGTTAAAATGTGTGACTGGCACGCGAAACCTTAAATTAGAGTGAATAAATGAAGACTCGGCACCCCACTTCTGAAAGGTTGCCGACCCCTGGCTAGACACTGAGGAGAAAGCCAATCTGTCCCACTGGCTGCACAGTCTCCTCTCTGGGTTCAGACCCTGCTTCCCTCTCAGGGAGCCTCACTGCAGGGTGAGTGCAGCCACTCCCAGCTGGGATCCGCCGGAGCTCACTTGCCTGCTGGTTTTCATTTGTCCTTCCCAGTGGCTTGGGGACTGCTGATGTTTTAGGGCCTGATTAGCTGCTTGAGCACAGTTTGGTTCTGGGTGGGAGTGTTTGCTTCAGCGGCTGGGATACTGAGCCCAGGAAGCGCTGTTCTGTAGCAGTGATTCTCAGCCACTAGACACTCGATGGGTAGGCTGGGTGGAACGGGGCTGCCATGCCTAAACCCCATCTCTCTAACCTGGCTCCTGACTATCCAAAAAGTGGTGCAAATGGCTCAGTTTGAGAAGGTAGAGTCCTTTCCCCCAAGCCCTGGGAGATGGCTGCTATCTGTGCTGATTAGGAATGTGCACCTCACCCTGGGAGGGAAAGTATGCATAGCTGAGCTTTTAATGAGCATGAAATGGCAGGAGAAGCCAAGGGCAAGGAATGGCCTTGCCATAGGGAGGTTTTCAGTTGCTTTCTTTCTGTGCAGATTGTGTCTTTATATATACCCCCTCCATGGCCTTCAGCCACATGACACGGCCTTTCTAAGAAGCCTCTGCTTGCCTCTTCCAAATATCATTGAAGGTTTGAGGAGTTAACTCCTTGCCACGGATCACTCCTGCAGAGTGGCAGATTATTGACTCTGCGGAATCCTCTTTGTTCTGGAATTGTCACACCTTGTGAAGGGTCTGAACCTGTCACTAGGGTTTGTCCTGTTAACACCTTAAATTGCCCCTTTGTGAGTTGGAGGCATTATGTTGATGGCCAAAAGTTATTCTGGTGACTAGGAGTATGGACTTCTGGGTCATTTATCTATAGAATCATAGATTCACCATCCCAGTGGATGCACGCGGCATCACTTGATTTATTGAGGGCATCACCTGGCATGTGGGTGAACAAACTTGGGGTGCAGCAAGAGACAATTTTGTTGATTAAATGTGATACCATTTATATTTTATCAGACAGTCATTTCTTAAACTATACTTTTTTATGAACATAAATATATATTAAAGTAAGAACACTCCTGGTCTGTTTCTGTATTAAAATGGCATTTCAAAAATCCACAGTGAGGTGTGCTGGCCATCTTTGTTCTTGGTGCAGGTTCCAATTCTCAGATGACAATTGAATATTCTGCACCCTGTTCAAATCATGTTAGTGATTCTGCATCCCTCCACCGGCTCCCCATTCTCTAGCCTATCAAACACAAGCTACTTGTCTTCACTTGCCTTCCTGGCCTATCTCCTCCCTCCCTTTCTCCTCTCATTCACTATCAGGATGTCGACCTCCATCTCCCATTGGTCGTGAGGTCAGCCTCCATCGCCTACACACGCTTTCTCCAGCGCTGCCCCTCATGCTTGGGAGGAGCTCCCAATAGCGCCCCCTCCCCCTGAGCTATTTCATCATCCGCCTTCAAAACCCTCCTTAACCTCTCCTTGGCCACGAGACCGACACAAACATTGACAGAGACCACTGCTGATCATACTGACCCATATTGTCTCATTGTTCCCTTGTGCCCCTCGGCTGTCTAAGTCCTTCAGTTGGGTCTCATTTTATAGTTGGGTTAGAAGCTTTTTGGGGAGGGCCCATCTCTCTGGGGCTCCTAGATGCTCTGGTAATAAAAACAATAATTCTGGAAGGAGGTTGCAGCCGTGAGAATACCTATGGAATCTATCTATGAGCTGGTCATTTTTCAGTCATCACCATAACCTGGGTGCTTCCCTCTTTCGTTCTCTAGCTCAGCCCTTGGAATGTCTTTGAAGGGACTGTTTGATAAACACTGAATTCCACTTTCTTACTGGTTCGAGATCTGTCTCAGCAGCTACAGGTGTTCCCAACTCTTCCCATTTTCCCATTTTTGTCAGCCTTGAATTGCCATTTCCAGCCGTAGCATCAGCCCGTTGCGTCCGTGTTGGCTTCAGCCTGCTGGCCTAGTGTCGGCCGACTCCAGTTCCAGCAGAGTGTTCTGCCAGGCTGGCCCTGCGTCCTGGACCCAGCCGTTAGCGCCATTCCCCCAGCGTAGGTAGCTGAGAGCTGCTAAAGGTAATATCTATGCTGGCCCTCAGCCCCGGGTGCGCAAACCTCCAGTGACTTCCATTTCCTGCATCATAGCCGGGTTTCTGTGGTGGTTTCTTGCCTCAGTGAAAAACACGTTTGTATTGTCTTTGCGGAGCGAGCGTCCTTGGGTGAACAAGGGTTTGTGTGACAGCAAATTGCAGCCGCTTGTGTAAACAGGGGAAAGGAAGTAGGAGGAGGGAGGTCATACGGCCTTTGTATACGGCACTAGTGAGAGCACTGCTGGAATAGGGTCCAATTCTGGTGTCCGTACTTCAGAAAAGCTGTTGAAAAACCGGAGCAGAGAATGATCCGAGTGTTGGAAGAAAGGTGGCTTATAATGAGAGACTTAAGGAGCTCAGTCTCTTTAGCTTACTGAAGAAGAGGCTGAGATGGCTTGATCCTGGTCGGTAAGTGCCTATGCAGGGAGAGGATTTCTGTAGCAGAGAGCTCTTTGATCTGGCTGACAAAGAGGCTGCAGGCTGAAGTGTGAGTCTGAAAATAAGGTGCACGTTTTTCAGTGAGGGTGTTTAACCATTGGAACAGCTGCCCTAGCAATTGTGGTGGATTCTCCGTCACATTAGCTTGGCTGTTTTTCTAAAAGAGATGTGGTCTTTTAACCCCAAATGATTAGTCTGGATGCACGAATCACTGGGTGAGGGTCTCTGGCCTGGGTTACACAGGGAGTCAGACTAGATCAGGGATCGGCAACCTTTGGCACGCGGTTCCCCAGGCTAAGCACCCTGGCGGGCTGGGCCGGTTTGTTTACCTGCTGCGTCCGCAGGTTTGGTTGATCGCGGCTCCCACTGGCTGCAGTTCGCCGCTCCAGGCCAATGGGGGGGGCGGGAAGTAGTGGCCAGCAAATCCCTTGTCCCGCACCGCTTCTCACCACCCCCATTGGCCTGGAGCGGCGAACCACGGCCAGTGGGAGCTGCGATCGGCCGAACCTGAGGACGCGGCAGGTAAACAAACTGACCCGGCCCGCCAGGGTGCTTACCCTGGCGAGCCGCATGTCTAAGGTTGCCGATCCCTGGACTAGATGGTCACTGGCATTAAGATCTCAGAGGTTCTCGGTAGCCTTCCCTTAGAAGCCTGGAGATTGGTGTTTGGGTTGTGCTAACTGTCTTTTCTTTCCCTTTGAGGTGTCCAGCGTTGGTTTTCAAGGAATTTGGACCTATTGGAAGCTCCTACTACCCTAATGCCATGAAGATTGAGGTGAACAATGTGGAAGAAAAAGCTGTCCATTCTTGGTCAAGAATCTCTTCGGCAGGACAAAAAGCCCTGGAGGAAGCCCTCAGAGTCTTCAACCCCATGTCCAAGGACCTTTCAGATACCGAAACCCAGCTGGTGGCCTTTCTCCAAGGCCTCAAGGAGGAAGGCTACCAGCCCACCGTCTTAAGGAGCAAGGATGTTTATGGGTACAGCTCCTGCACGGCGGATACTCCCAGCCAGACACAAGAGAGCACACGAGACGATTCAGACACAGGTGCTGCTGTCTCTGACTGTACGAAAGCTCCGGTTAGAAGCCCTGCCGTGACAGCCGAGGTGCCTGGGACACTCGCGGAGGTTTCGGTCAGCTCTCCTAGCGTTCGCACCAAGCCTGTCTCTAAAGGGAGTGCCACAAACCTGCTGCTCAACTCCTTGAAAGAGACCCGGTCAGGCACATCGAAGGCCTCAGCAATGGGCTTCCCAGCTAATATGTACCCTGACGTGTATCCAGCCATGAGACTCTCTGTCGTTCTGGAAGCCTTGGTCCCACTGGAAGCCACAGCATCCTGTTTGGAGTCCAAATACAAACAGGGGCATCTTGGAATCTCCCCCTCAGACCTGAAGCTTCTCAAGGCATCGGGTGCCTCGAGGCAGAACACTAAGCTGCCCTCGGGGCAGTTCGACCCCAAAGGCTATAAACACGTAGTTAAGAAAGCGCCAGATTCTTCCGCTCTAGCTGTAACGCTTCTGAAGGGAACGAAAGGTGGGGTGCTAAAGGAGAGTAATGGTTGCAAAGCATCTGGAATCCTGAATGGGAGGATTCCAGGCAGCTCATCTCAGTGTTGCAGTGGGGGGTCACAGGCCAAGGCCTTTAAAAGTAAAGCCAAGGAAGTTCCGGTGGGGAGAACTGACTGGAAAGACAGCAGTAGTCAGGAGACAGTTGGGCAGAAAAGGAAAAGAGCCGAGGAGGTGAAAGAAGCACCACAGAAAAAGAAGAAAAATATCATGACTAAACCTGAACTAAGTCAGAGCACTTTGAACCTGCTGAGATCCCGGGCCATTAAGGTGGACGGCTCGTCGTCAGACGATGAAGTGAGGAGGAGAGCACAGAAGATCCTTAGGGTTAACCTGTCCCCTGTGATCAGAATCCAGCCATGGTCCCCCTCTCACAGTGTCCCCTGAGTTCCTTCCTTTTGTCACTTTTCTCTTCAATACAGAAGTGTGAACCAGCTGCCAGGCTGTGGAGATGTGTAAGAGCCACTTTCATTCTCTAGTGTCCGGCAACAGGATCACAGCCGGTACCTGCAGACTTTGGGCAGCTTGCTCCACGGCTGTTGCTGGCTGCCCGGCAACATTCTGCAGAGTTGGACTGCGCGAGGACAAAACCGTGTTTAGAAATACAGGACAACGACTCCCAGCCCCCGTGGTGAGCTGAGCGAAGCCAGGTGCTAGTGTCTGTGCTGTGCTTTTCCGAACGTGCTGGAGCACATGTCTGTGCAGTGGGGAGCGCGTGACTTTCTCCTGACGTTCATGCACTGTGATATTTTGCTCTTTTTCAAGCTGTACGTTTCTTGGTTTTATTTTGATCAAATTTTATAACTTTATTCTATATCTATATATCTACACACACACAATGCCCTGGCACTGTCTGAAGACACGTCTCCTCCGCCGCTCTGGAGCTGGGTTCGCCCTTCAGTCAGTCTTTTGTCGAAAGGTGCGGGGTTTCTTTCCCATCGTCAGTGTTGTTACCTGTCTGTTCTGGGCTCTTTTGAGAAGCTCAGAAGCAGGCAGAGTTCTAGCCACATGTTTGTCTCTGGAAACACCATGCCGGATGGAGACTTACCAGCTCGTAGCTGAGTTTAGGTCTATCCTGTTCAGGGGACCTCGGCAAAGAAAATGGAAAGTAGGGGAGGGCTGATTGGGCTGTTAGCTCTGACGCTCTCTGGGTGCTGCCCCCTTTCGCTATTAGCACAAATGCTAAATGCTTCCTGTGGGTTTGCTTCCAAAGAGCGCCGGGGGAAAGGTGCTGTCATGCCCCGCCCGTTAACTTAAGAAATGAATTTGTGGCTGGTTGTCGACCCAAGATCTGGGGCTGCCAATCAGCGGATACTTAATATTTCCTGGCCAGACCGTCATCACTTGAGTGCTGCTGAACATTCCAGTGACTTGCGGGTTAGGTCGAGAACTCGCCCACTGTGATTCTGAATGTATCGAGTGTTGCTAACGTGCTGCTGGCTCCAGGGGAATGTGTATGGATGAGAACCAGAGCACAGCACCAGCAGGTTCATCAAACGAGTTTCCAGCCCTTTTTTTAACATTTCAGGAGAAGAAGGTATTCGTTTCTGGGGAGTGGTTTGCGCGGGGTTAAGCCACTGTATATTTATTTCTCATCCTGGATTTCAGATTTGCCAGCTCTTCTGGGATTTTAGGGTGATGATCTGCTGCAGGGTATAAAATCTTTCTCTGCTTAGCGTCTCCGTGCTCAGTTCTATGTTCAGGGGAGCAGGAGAAGACAAGGGGTAGGTGCCTCCTTCCCTCCTCACTGGGAGAGTCTGGCAGGTACAGGCTGGGAATATGCCTATCTCACTTGCAGTTACGGTGCTGGGTGTGATCTGAAGGCAGAGCCTTCACTGGTTACGGTTGGTTCTGCCTTCTGCTGTTGGAAGGGAATTGCCAATTGCATGTGAACTATTGTAAAATTCCGACTGTCAGTGCTGGATGGGGCGTGACCATCGCCCTGCACAGAGAGACAGCCTTCGTCATCTCGTACTTGACTAACAGGGACTCTCAATCTAGAGACCATGAAAACAGAAAGGGACATTTCCCCCCCTTCTCCAGAGGAGAGTCAATCCAAAGTGCTGAGGCTGTTTGTGGGAGGTCTCTCGTTACCGGGATGCCCTGTTTTGTTAACACACAAGCACACCAGAAGGTCGCACACTTTGTTGCATGCATGGACGAGCTGTGCGTCCAATGAGGGAGCAGCATATTAAGCTATTGCCTGTAATGCACAGGCAGCAGCGGGGGGGGGAGAGGGGGGCAGAGAAGCTCCTCTCCCTGCAGCACCAGCTGGACCCCGGGGCCTGACTTCCCTTTCCCTTACACCGGTGAAATCAGGTTTTTCCAGGTCCCCCAACCCACAGCCTTCTGCCAGCTGATGCCTAGAGCATCCTCTGGACTGTTGGGATGGGTCGGCTCTGGGGTGCCGGAGCAGTGCCTCCACGTGCTGCGTGTTCCAGGGGATTCAGCCACCACAGGCCATGGCATGCAATGTCCCACCTGGCGTCGGCTGGCTCTGCTAACCTGCTCTTCCCCACTTCACACGGCGGCTCCTAGCTGTTGCTTCCTTGGAAAGCAAGCACCCTCCATACAGTATCTGGCCAATCTGTGGAGCACCATTCAAGAGGGCGCAGCTGCCCCCCGAGCTCCACAGCAGTCGCGCTATCGGGAGTTGCTAGCTGCTAATGCCATCGCTGGCCAGGTGCTCACCCCGCCATAGGACGTGCCCTTCAGTGGCTGCCCCGGGCTGGGTATAGGATGGAAATGTTTCCTTTTCACTCTTTGTTTTCACAGCCCTCGTGTTTTAATTTTGCAAAGTGTTCCCATTGCAGGAGTGGCACTGGGTGAGCGGGGGCTGTTTGATCACTCCTCTCCCATTTTCCTCCCTTCCCTCTGCTCGGCCCCTTCCCTGTGTTTCATGCAGGCTGGGGAATAGCCTGCCCTCCAGTGGATCTTCCCAGTCTCGAGAGGGCTCAGAGCTCCAGCCAGTTGGGAGCGCTCTGTTCCTCCTCCTCTCCTCTCTACAGGCACTGCAGCATTCTCTCCTGTTCTGGCCACGGCAGTGCATTGCCCGGCTTCGCTCGTCATGCAGCTTCTCGGAGCCTGCGGCGGCGAGTCCAGCTCCCATTGAAGCCAGTGAGAAATGCACCTGCTCATACCCAGGGCTGAATCCAGGCCTAGGTCTCTTCCTTCGGCGTATGCTGAGCCTCTCCAGAGAGGTGAGCAGCTGTGGCTGCCCCCGGGTGCGTTACCCCCTGCAGCACTCTGCTGCCTGCCTCCCCACCTCGCTCAGCTCCCGAAAGCTTTGCCGTGTCCCTGAGGCGGCTCACGCTTCTCTCCCCCTGCGACTGCACACGTCAAATGGGGCTTGTTGCCTTCGCACTGCTGGGCCTCCCCGCTCGTCACTTCAGAGTTCCTATAGCCTGTGGAAAAGGGGGGGTCCACCCAGGTTCTCCTGCAAGGGGTGGGGGCGGTGGGATGTGGCGGCCCGGTTCCTGGACAGCTGGAAGCCGCTGTGGCTCTCCGCTTGGTTGGTCGGTCGAGTGTGCGTGAGGTTGTGTGTGTCCGCGATAGGCACGGCAATACATTCTTCCTGCCCAGAATCCCGCAGAGCAGGTGTCTGAGCTAGCAAGGGTCGTGGGCAGAGCTGGCAGTGCAGTGGGGCGCTCAGGGGTTTGGTCCAGTGCAGGTGGGGAATGCAGATACCCCACTCGCAAACCCCTTCCCCTTCATTGTTTCAAGGGGGGCTGCAGGCAGCCCTTGGAGCCCTGCTGGAGAGAATCCAGCTCCATGCCACGTGTTGTTGTGCTAGCCCCTGGAGACCCGTCAGCCACGGAGCCCCATTGTGAGGGTGCTGCACAGACAGTGCTGGAGTTGAGGGTATGGGCCCTTCCCTCCCACCATCGCTCAGGAGAGGAGACGCGGCCTTTCAGGGCTGCGTGCTGTGCCCTTTCCTGCCCGTCGGGGCTGGGTTGGCACAGAGGTGTAAGGGCCTGCAGGATCGTTCTTTACTGATTGACTGGCATTTCGGGCAGCCACAGGGCCGTATCAGGAACCGATCCAGTAAGTGCTGAAAGTGTTACACTGCAGTGCTCTGCACGCAGGTGGTTTTCAGTCTGCTTTTGTGTAGATCACCCAAGTGCCTAGTCTGGCGGTGCTGTTCCTGGGCACATTCAGAGCCACGCTCAGCAGTGCTTGTCCTGTGTGGATTAATGCTCCTGTCGTTCGAATGAGGGCTGCCGAGGGCTGTACTTAACCACCTTCCTGGGGAATCATGTCCATTTTTACTTACCTGCCAGGAGTCCGTTTGTGTTTCACCTGCCTGAGTTGGCTGCACCAGTAACAAGTGACCCGGGGTAGCGGCCCCTGCACTTCCTTCTGTGTGTTAGCGAGGCCAGCCGTTCTCGCAGGGAAAGCAGCATGTGTCTGCATGGGTCCGTGAAAGGAGGGGAGGGTCTGATTGTCAGATGTTTGGTTGAAAATCTGCTGTTAATGAGTAGACGTGAAATTTGAACGCAGACCTGTGTTGTGACCACGCTGCATCTTCCTGCCTCTCATTTCAGTAAGAGGAATTTCTCCTTTGCTTCCTCTCTGCAAACCGTGTTGTACAGTGTCGCGGGCAGAGACCTGCTGAGTGCTCCACCCCAGAGGTGGCTGCAGGAGTACCCCAGTATGTGATCTCTAGAGCACTTTGCTGCAGAAACCGAAGGGATGATTTTGTACGTATTTAAATGGTATAGCCCCCCTCCCCCCGTAGCACGCCTGTCCTGCTCCTGTGGGTGTCGGAGGGCAGGCGTATGTCCGTGGTGAGCACTAGCAGAGTGCGTGTGAATGGTCGCTGTCTGAGCGCTTCTCGGAACAGGCCCTGGATGAAGGTGACACTTCAGGCTGGATTGATGTGTCATTGCCCTAAGTTCCAGGATGTGCTGACGTGGGTGCACTGCCCAGCTCGGCTCCACACCCCCCCTCAGTGCTGCCTCCCTGGAGAGATCTTGCCTAGGTACAAATCCAGCCTCTTACGTGCAGTTGTTTGGCTGGGTTTCTGGTTCTTCCCGGCGGGCCCCTTCCGTTGGTCTGGTTTATCTCAGCAACAGCACTGGCTCTGTGGCAGAGCTGCTGGGTGCCGTGCCGTGCCCGGAGCGAAGTAAATCGTGGCCCCAGGGAAATGAGTTTGAGTGCACCCCAGGGAAGGCAGTGGGGGAAGCAGCGTGGGCCAGTGTTAGCTGCGTGGTTTAAACAGAACTAAGCATTGCCGGGGGGGGGCTCTGCATTCCCTCTGCAGCACTCCGCACCTTCAGTCGCACAGTGCTCGAGAGGCGTCTCCCCGGCCCAGCCTGGGGGAGACCCTGTGCGTAGTTGTCTGAGTATAGACCTAAGCAGCATTGTGGGGTGTGAGGGTCTGGTCCAGGAGCTGTGCCGACCAGCAGAGCTGCCCAGTTGAAATCTAGTCAGTGTGAGTCCTGTGCCCTGTTTCCCACCACAGGCTCCTGCTTTAGTGCTCTCTCTCGCCAGCGGGTGTGTGAAACCCCTCCGAATAGGGAGACAGACGCTGCCTGTACACCCAGTGCAGCCACATGCACACAGGGCCTGCCTTGGGAGAGGAGGATGTTCTCTCTCTCTGTAGCACTGGGGGGGAACTCCATGCACAAGCATGAGTTTCTGGCAGAGCTGACGAGTGGGGATGTATTCCGTGCCAGGCTGCTTTGGGCACCTGCAGTTTATTTCCTGGAGAAGTGAGTGTATTCGTTGTGCAGGATTTAAAGTGATGCTGATGTTTGGAACCCCTGTGGTCTGGGGGGCATCTTCCAGCAGCTAGAGACAGTGCCCTATGGCAGATTGTCCCCTGCCCCCACTGCTCCTCTTCCCCTTGGGTGCGCCCTGTGTCTTGCTAAGCTGTGCTGGACGGGTCCGAGGGGCCAGATCGCTCCCCCGGGCTGTGACGACTGGTGAGGGAGTGAGGGGCTGACAGTGCGGTGCCCCTAGGAGCTGCTCAGCCTTGGGCAGGCAAAGCACCAAGCTCTGGGTCCGTGTGTGTAACAGCAGCTTACAAAGCTGGCACCCTGGCCCTGAGCTCAGCTAGCGCAGCTCCCTTGCTGCCGAGAGGGAGGCCCCTCCGGCTGGTGCAAAAGCAAGGAGCTGGGATTAAGGGAACCCAAAGAAGCCGGTTATGTGTGTCTGCCAGCGTGTGCGACTGGGGGATTGAGCTCAGTGAAGGCTATTGTGACGCACCAGAGAGCTCCCAAATGCAAAGCCCTCTCCAGACAGCTTTCCCTTGAGTCGATCGGGCCCCGTGGGCCCCGGGCACTGCGCTGTGTGGCATTGCTCAGCCTTTGGGGTCCGTCCTCACTTGCTTTGCGGCGGCTCTGCCGTGCTCACGGCCCAGAGCCCTGCCCAGGCGCTGCCGATCTACAGCACTAGACGGAGGAGCGCGTCTCGTCCCAGCGTGAGCATCCGAAGGAAGTTCCCCTAAGGCGGCAATTAGCCCTTGCCCTGAGGAGTCCCTTAAAGGCCTTATTATCCCCTGGCTTATCCCTCTTGTGGTGTCTTAATGATCCCATTCAGTTCCTGTAGCTGCGCACAGGTCTCCGCAGAGGGCGTCTGGGGCCTTCCCCAGAGGCAAAGCCAGGCGCGCAGTGCTGCAGTGATGTGCCAACAGCCATGCTCCTAACCACCCCTCCCCGCTCCTGGGAGCACACAGGGCACTTGGAAATACACCTCCTGCCACAGCACGCAAGGGATGTCGGTGCAGTTAGTGTCTGGAGAGACCCTGGCATCCTCTCTGCGATGGGCACTATTCACAGAGCCGGGGGATAGCAGCCAGTCTGTGTGGGACCGCGTGAGCCCTGGACCTGTCCATCATTGCTGCAGCGGGACTGGCCTGCTTCTGCTTGGACTGGAGCCACCAGCTTTGCCACGGATCTTCTCTTTGGTGTGAATCCAGACCAGCCCCATACCAGCAGAGCGCTAGTCCCCAGAGCCAGCGGGCCATTTCCTACCAGCGGGTTTTTGTGCCGGGCCTGCCGCCCCTGTTGTCAGCCTGGGAACGGGATCGCCTGCAGGAGGGAACACAACTGGTGCCCCTGGGCTGGGAGTGAAGTTTGTGTGCAGCGCGGTCAGTGGTGGAGGTTCGCCAGGCGGGCGGGCGGTGCCCCACGTGCTGTGTATGTTCGGACGCCGCTGTTCAGCGAAGGGCAGTGGTAGTGTTGTCCCACTCTTACGAGGAAACAGGCCAGAACCAAACTGTCTCTTTCTCTTAAGTGAAGTGAATTTTTTGTTATGAAATGCGAGCAGGCGATCTGGCCCTGCCGTCCGTCAGTAAAATGGTGCTTCAGAACCCAGCCAGCTGCGTCCGGCTCCTCTTTGGGCCCTTCCGCACCCTTGGCCAGGCTGCCGCTGTTGGTGCTAATGACAATCACACATTGTCAAGTGAATGGGGCAGAGCCTCAGGTGTGACTGGCTGCTGCACGGGGCTGGATTCTCTAAAACTCAGCATTACAAGCCCTGCTCCCCCGTCCTGCCTCTCCTTCGCACCCTGCAGCAGCGTCAGCCAGTCCAACTCCATGCACCCAAACAAACACAGCATCGTGTCCCGGCGTCCCCAACAGCTCACTAACGTTTTCCTCTCTTGCAGCGACCATGAAGGCCTGAGGTGCCTGGCTGGGCAGGCCCAGCTGTCCAGGAGATGCTGGCCGGGAATGACTCTGCAAGGGAAGTGCTGTAGTGTCCCTGTCCTGCCAGCAAACCAGGCGTGGCAGGTGCAGGAGCCAGGGAAGGACACTAGGGCTTCCCGTATCCCTCTCCCTGGCAGTTAGACGCTGCTCCCCAGGGCAGGAGCTGGGAGGTGCGGTGCCATGCAGGGCTTGTCTGTGTGCCTTCCTCCACCTGTTCAGCTTCCGGCACTGGACACCAGCTCTGCCTCTGTCATCCACTGTGCAAACGCCCTGAGCACCTCTAAAAGGGGGTGGGGGAGGTGCTCCCCCTTGGCTTCCCTGGGAGCAGCGGGGTTGGAACTCGGGTGCCTGTATGTGGAATGAAAACTTGGCCTGGGCATGCATTGTTCTCATTGCCTCTTTGCTTCGCTCTGTGTCCCTGGGGTTGGGGTGACGCCCTGGTCTCTCCAGCGCCCCACACCCAGAGCCTGCTCCCTGCGCAGGGGCTGCTGACTACGCGGTGGGCTCTGGTAATGCTTTGAACTTGGAGAACCATTCAGGCAAGCACCGAAAATGGCTTCACAGATGTTCTTCTGCTCACGTTTCCTGGCAGGTCCCAAGGATGGGGGAACCGGCTGTGAGAGAGGAAAACGGGCCCAGTCTTTTCAGTCTCTCTTGGTACGGGAGTTTCTCCTGGCCCCTGGTCATTCCCACCACCCGCCTCTCCTCTCTGTGGTTTGAGGGGGGTGACCAGCCCTGGCATCCCAGGGGAGGGTTTGCTGCTGTATAACATCATACTCCCCAGCCTCGCTTATGCGTTTCAGCCCTTTGTTCGTGTCTCTGACAGCCGCTGCCCAGCGAGCAGAGGTTGCACTGACCTCGAGCCCTGGGCCCGGGTGGTTGGTTAGTTCCAGGCAGCGGTGTCCCCTGGGCACAGCACCTTGCCTTCGTCAGCACTGAATTTCATCTGCCGGGCTCTTGCCCGGACGCCTAGCAGAAGGGGCCTGCTCCTGACTGGGGCAGAATTTTCAAAGCTGGAGGCCCTGGCTGGTGTAGACGTACCCATTCCTGAGCCTGTGCATTTGGATAGTGTGTGTGTCACGGAGTCCCCGGGCGATGCTCTGGAACTGCTCCCCACAAAGCCAGTCAGGACTTTGGGGAGCCTCCTCTCCCTCGGAGCAGACTGTCTTCAGGGCAAGGAGCTCACACGGCTTCACCTCCTGGGTCTCTCCTGGGAGCATTCAGCATCTGCCCCTCCGTGCGCTTCCCACAGTGAGTCCGCCCAGGCGGGGTCCTGGGGAAGCCAGAGGGTCCTGCCCCCCAACTCCGCAGTCAGACGTGACTCTCAGCCAGCCAGTAACACAGAGGTTTATTAGATGACAGGAACACGGTCTACACAGAGCTTGTAGGTACAGCGGCGAATGGGACCCCTCGGCCAGGTCCATTCTGGGGTTCAGAGAGCCAGACACCCCCGTCTGCCCTCACTCCCCGTCCCCAGCCAGCCCCAAACTGAAACCCCCTCCAGCCCCTCGTCTCTGCTGAGTTCCTTTACCGGGCCAGGAGGTCACCTGACCTCTTTGTTCTCCCACACCTTTAGCACCCCCTTGCAGGGGGAAGGGCCTGGCCATTAGTTGCCAGGCAACAGAGTGTCGGCCGGAAACTGAGGCACCCACCCAGTATTCAGAGGAAACGTTAAGACCAGTCCCACTTGGTCACAGTGTGCAAACCAGGAACCAGCCACATGTGAGCAGCGAGGTGCCAGGTACGGGGGGGCGGGGGGAGGTCCTGGCTGTGCTCGCTCCCCAGGAGAACTGCAGGCTGGGGCCGGACTGTCAGACTCCGGTTGGGTCCCTTCCCCCAAGGTGGACCTGGAGTCCGTGTGTTTTCCCGGAGCTGCAACCATGGAGTCCTCCAAGGACCTGCAAGCGGGGGCAGCCTGGGGTTTCTGCAGGAGAAGTGCTGGTGCGTCTCCCTCCCCTTGCCCTGCTGGACTCCGGGGCCCTTCCCCCGCCGCCCTTGTCCGCTGCCAAGGCCTTTGGCCCGCTCTGCTGCAGCGCTGGCTTGCAGGGTGGAGCAGGTCCTCCCGGGCCCTCTCCTTTCTCCCCCTCCCCAGGGTCAGGGTCCTGCGCGGGGCTGAAGGCTGTGGTAGCAGCAGCTGCTGATCAAACAGCCAGGTGTCCTTGGATTTACCCTCCCACCAGCAAGGGAAAGAAACGCCAACCCTCCCCTCCCCGACTCCCAGAGCACCTCGCCAAAGGCTTGCTTTGCCAAGTGACGCCCACTGCCCGCTCCTGCCCAGCAGTGCTGCTGTCACGCTGCACTGGTGTCCGCCAGGCCCCGGCCCGAGCGCCACTAGCCCCTGTGCTGCAATAGGGCCAGCGAATGGAGCGGGGTGGGAAAGAGGAAGAAATAAGGCCGCTCTCCCGAGAAACCTGCGGGCGAGGACTGCAGAGCACTGCGTGAGGTCTGCGTGAAACGCAGGAAGAAGGGACATCCCCGTGCACATGAACTGCGCCGTGTCGACCAGCCCCAGGGAGTGAAAGGCCGAGAGCAGCTCCCCACTCCCTCTTCCCAGTCCCCGCGTCTTGTGTGCGTGGGGATGGGACGGGCGCCATCTTTCCATGGAGACACCGGTACTCTTCTGCCAGCAGCAGCACGAGCCAGGGGTTCCTCTTAGCAACCCCCCAGCAAAAGCTCACGCCCCCGCCCCGTCCGGGGGGAAAGCTACCCACCGTCCCCGGCCGCTCGGGGAGCCCCCGCCCTCTCGCACGCACTGCGTCCCGGGAGAGCCGGAGACGTTTGATTAACGGGGGAAGGGAGCCAGCTCAGTATCAATTTGGCAAACTCTGCAACAGTTCAAAAGCCTGTGGCCATAAGCAACACCCGCCCCACACTGAGTGCCTTGGGCTGTGTCCTCTGCCTCAGTTTCCCACCTGGCAGTGCGCCAGGCCAGCAGACGAAGGTCCCTTTAATGTGGCAAGCCGCTGCCCCCCACTCACAGTTGGTGGTGTGAAGGCCCAGAATTCAGGGGTGCGTTACACCGGGTCCCTCCCCTGACCGGGGGTCGAGCAGTGCCCCCCGCTGTGATTTCACCAGGCCGTAGCCATTTCACCGGGCGGGGGAACCCCACGGCTAGCACTAACTCTGCATTCGTCTTTCCCAGCAACGCTGGCCCTGCTGCAGCCCCCGAACCGCTCAATGGCGTCTGACCAGCTTGGCCTTTAAACCCAGGGAGGGACTAGGACTTGTTAAGCAGTGCCCACGTCACCAGGTGGGAGCCCCTCCGATGCCCATGGCCTTGGATTTGGCATCCCTCCTAGGCCTAGCAAGTGGGGCTCGGGTGAGGGTGACCCCCCCAGGCGGGGCAGGGGAGGGAGGCACAGTTCTGCTGCCCTTTACTTGGACAATAAGGATCACAGCATTTACCCCCTTGCTCGCTACCAGCCCCAAGTGCCTCGGGCAAAGCAGGCCTGGGTGCTGGTCACCTGCGCACACTGAGCCAGGAGCCGGGGCCTTCCCCTGTGCACGTTTGGCTGGTGGCACTGCCGAGGGGTCTCCAATAGGCCCTGGCTTGTGGCATGGCTGCCCCCCAGCCCCCGCTCATGGCAGGGGTTCTAAGGTACCCTGGTGGCCGGCAGGGCGCTGGGGGGCTCCAGTCAGCATGGAACAGCTCATTGTAACGGTGACTCGGCAGCCTGGGGGTAGCCCCGGTGCAGTTCCTGCGCTGTCACGCGGCACGGCTGCTGATCTCCACACGCCCCTGCTCAGCGCTGCTCACGTCTCTACGGCTTGCATAGCCCCTTCCCCCCACGGGCCCAGGGGATCTGACATCTGCTCCAGGCAGGAGCGTGGCCGGCAGGTGTGTGCAATCAGACGGGCATTTCACACATACGCAGGGGGGTTAAAGTGTGGGGGGGAGTCAGCAGTTGTGACCAGAGCGGTCACTGGCCCAGGGCTGGGGCTTTGTGGGCCAGCTGCTGGAGGACGGGTAGGGTCCCCGAGTGTCTGCACTCGCCCGGGTGGGGAGCTGGTTTTACTGCCTCGCCAGGACGGACGAGTGCAGGCATGTGCCCAGCCAGGTCCATGCTGGCGGCTCATGGTGCACGTAGTACCCCAGGCTGAGTGGGGCAGAGGAATTCCCCCCCCACACCCCCCCGCACACACACATGGGCCCAGACGCCGTCCCGGGGAGCAGGGGCAGGGCTGAGCCCCCAGGCAGGGCAGGACCACGGCCAGACATGGTCGCCCTGCCCAGGGCTGAGCGAGGCCGCAGGGGAGGGGAAAGCAGCCGGGAGGTGGCTGCTGGTACCAGAGATGCCTGGTCCGAGGGGGGCCAGGGCTGTGGTGGGGTCTCCCCAAGAGAGCCTGAATCCCAGCCCGTGGGGAGGAGGCTGAGAGGGCTCTGTCCTGGGGGCAGCAGGTTACCCCAAGGGGAGATGGGGGCCAGCCCCAGCCTTGGGACATGACTCTGGTCATCCCGGCTTCTCCAGCCCTGGGCACCAGAGCCCCAGAGACAGGGCTGGGCTACGACCAGCCTTGGAGGGGGACAAACCAACCCTGATCTGCCCAAGCACTTCAGGGTCCCTCCCTGCCCACCTAGGGCCAGGGCTGCGGCCGGCTGACCCCTGGGGGATGGGGGTCGCTGCCCTCGCTCCCTGGCAGACGAGGGGGCAGGGCAGTGGCAGGACCCCAGCCCAGTTTCAAACCCAAAGGTTTGGGGTGGCAATAGAGCTTGGGGAACACATGAAAACTCTCCTGTGGCTCCTGCTAGTGCCACCTCCCAGACACCCACGGGGAGGCTGCGAACTGCTCAGAATGGTGCTGCAAGGATCTGCCAAGTACCGGGCAGGACAGCTAGCGAGGCGGGCAGTGGGGTTTGGCATCTGTCACGGACTCACAGATCGTGCCCACTCTTGGCCCCTTTCAGTGTGACAGCCCTTCTCGGGGGTCCACTCTCTCTCGGGGTCAGGCCCCTCCACCTCCTGGAGCCGCACCTCTCTGAGCCTTAGCACGTCTGTCTCTGCCGTGGGCCCCCTCAGGGAGTCCACTCGCTCTGGACCCCCGGGGCCTCCACCCCCCCGAAGGGGTTGATGCCCCCCCTGTTCGCTAGACCGGAGTGACTCTCAGCCAGCATAAAACAGGAGGGTTTATTGAGAGTTGAACCCAGCACAGGAAACTCTCAGGGCCTCAGGCCTGGCCTCCCTCAGCCCAGCACATCCCAGTCTCTCTGCATCCAGGTGGGCTCTGCCTGCTCCCCCTCTCCAGCCCAGCCCCCCTGCTCCCAGCTGGGCATCTGAGATCCCAGGCCCCAGGCCCCGCCTCTGTCCATTGTCTTCTCTCCGGGTAAACAGGGTTGTAAACCGGGGCCTCCGCTCCTCGCTTCTGTCCGCTGGCTGAAACCGGCTGGTTAGGTCACTGGGTCCTCACTCTGCAGCCCATTGTCCTCCCACTGGCCAGAACCGGCTGCGTCTCCTCAGCTGGGTCTCCAGGTCACCAGGTCACCAGTCGCTGGGGTATCCATCCTCCCGGCCATCGGCTGGGTCCCCACGTCCTCTCTCCGGTCCTCTGCAAAACAAACTCCCTCTCCCCTCACCTCGTTAAACCAGTAATACCCAGAGAAACTGAGTCCCACCCTCTCCGCATGCAAACCATTGAAACCCCACCGAGAACAAGAAAAAACAAGAAAATCCCCCACTTCGTCACAGCATCCATGGGGAACAAGCGTGGGGCCAAACCACCCCGGTCCCTGGCCGACGTCCCCCTGCTTGGCTCTCTCGCCAGGGGAAGGGCGGTCCGCCAGCAGGGACGGGCCGCGATAACGGTGGGGATGACGCGCCTGGCAGGGCCGGGTTGGGCATTGCTGCCCTGTGGTGCAGAAGAGTTCAATGCCCCTGTGGCTGAGCAGGTGACATCGGGGACCGGTGCTGTACGGAGGGGCTAGAACCAGCCCAGCTCACTGGAGGAGCTGGGATTCCTCCGAGAGACGCTGCCCAGGGGGCCCAGCACGGCCCGAGCTCTCCAGGGCCCAGGACCCCGGTGCCATGCCCAGGGAACCACGGGGCTCTGGAGCAGCTGGGGACCATGCCCCCTGCCCCCATGGGCACGGCCCACCCAGGAGAGGGAACCTGAGCTGTTGCTCCAAGCTAGGCAGGGGAAATGATGCGGAGCCTGGCTGAGTGGAGACCTGCTCCGACAGGCCCACAGCTGGATGGAGAAGTGCAGGGGATGGGCTCCCAGGGGGTCCTGTGGGGAGGCAGTGCCCGGGGCCAGGGGCAGAACCAGCTCCGTTTCCCAGGAACGGCCACTGACTGAGGAGCCCCCAACGGCCTCTGTCTCCCACACAGATCACTGGTGAACCCCGGAGAGCTTCCCCAGACAGGGGGCCCGTGCTGGGCAGCGCCCGGCCATCCTGGCGGGCCTGGTAGCAATGCTAGTGACACTCCCTGGCCATATCACGCTGGGCAGCCCGGATTCCCCAGATCCCTGGCCTGGCCTGGTGGGCAGGGTGGCGGGCCGCCAGGGAGCTGGGCCCAGCCGGACCTGCGACCGGTCAGCGCAGAAAAGCAGCAAGCGCTCGCGGGCTGGCAGAGCTGTCAGGGCAGGGCAGGAGCTGGCACTCATTGCCGGGTGTATGTGGCAGAAATGAAGCTGAAGGGCTGAGCACAGAGACCTGCCTGGCTCTGGGGGTGTCCAGCATCCCCCTGGGCTGGGGACAGGCTGGCGCCCCCAGCTGTCCCTGCTCCAGGCAGCCAGCAGGGGGCAGCGTGAGCCTGGGTTATGGCTCTGCAGCCCCACTTCTCTGCCCCCCGTACCCCCCCAGGGACCCCAGTAAACCCTGGCCCTACGGGGCTCTGAGGAGCCAGCTGGTGGGGGCCTGGCCACAGCCCAGGGTCAGCAAGAGGGGCTGGACCCACAGCGTCTCCTTACTACCCCCACCCCCACTGGGGCAGCCCAGCCCCCCTTCCCACCCTGCCCCCAACACTCCTCCCCAGGGCCCTGCCCACTCCCCGGCTCCGCTGCCGGTGATCCGGGCGGGAGGAGACGGTGGTGCCATGGCAATGTCTGCACAACAGGCCGGAGCCGCGGGGCCTGCAGGTGACTGGGAGCCGGGGCCCGGGGGCACCAGGGACCTTGCCATGCAGGGGGCTGGCTCTCCCCGCTCCCCAGCAGAGCCTGGGGCCCCTGTGTGCTGAGGGGAGACGGGTGGCCGAGTGCTGGGGTGAGGCGGGGGGTTGGCAGGGCCTGGAGCTGGCGTGGGGCAGGGTGTGGGAGCCATGAGTGTGGTGGGGATGGGGTGGAGCCCAGTGAAGGGGGGCACGATGGCAAAGGGTTTAGCTCCCCATCCGGGGGTTTCCTCTGCTCCTCGCCCCTCCCCCTCTGTTCTAGATGAGTCCCAGTGGCGGGGGCAGCAGGGGTCCGGCCCCATGGAGGAAGCACCCAGCAGCCAAGCCCCCTGCAAGCGGAGCAACAGCCAGAGGCTGCCGGGGATCGAGGAGGAGCCCCCGGCCGGCCCCCCGCCCGACTATCGGCAGCACCTGTACAGGTGAGCGAGGACGGGGAGCCCCTCCCAGGGGAGGCTGGCAGGGTGGGGTGGGGTTGCCCCATGGAACGCCCATCCCAGCGCGGCCCCAAAGGAGACGCCGGGTGTCCTGGCAGGGCCGGTGCCTGGCTGCCTGGGCGCTCGTGGGCACCAGCTGGGCAGGGACGTGGTGGGCTGGAGGCTGAGTGGGGTGGGCCATGGCAAACTGGGTGGATCCTGGGCTCGGGGGTGGGGGTGACGCAGCAGGGAGCGGGCGGATTTGACCTGGGAATGTGGCAGGGGAGTTACACTGGGATGGGGGAAGATCCCGGAGCTGGAACCTGACACCTGGCCGGAGACTGGACAAAGGAGAGGAGGAGCCGGGGGGAGGGGAGAGAGCGGCTCGGGGAGTTCTTGGTTTCAGTTTGGTGCCGGGTGGTGGAACGCAGGGAACCCCAAGCTGGGGTCTAAGCTCCCTGCCCCCCAGAAGGACTTGACTGAGGGGTCCTGTTGTAGCCTGCGTTCCTACTGTCCAATAAACCTCCTGTGTTACCGGCTGGCTGAGAGTCCCGGTGAATCCCAGGAAGAGGGGTGCAGGGCCCTGACTCCCCCACACTCCTGGCACACCCATCGCGGGTGGGCCAGGCTGCATGGTGTGACCTGTTTCCTTCCCCGCAGCCTTCTGGGCCCTGAAAGAGCTGAATACTTCCTGAGCCCGCCGGCCCTGGAGCGGTGCAGGACCCCCGGGGAGCAGGGCCTGCTGGAGGCAGTGGGAGGTAAGGTGCCCCCGGAGCCAGCGCCCACGGCCCTGGCTGCAGATTCTGAGCCCCCTGGCCTGGGTCGGGGCCTGTCCATTTCTCAGCCCCATGGGCCTGTCCCGGGCCCGGCCCATTGGCCAGGTTGGCTCCAGCCATTGGGCCCTGGCTGGCTGGATAAATAGCAGCACCCCTGCGGCCCCCAGCCCAGGGTGAGCGTGGGCCCTGGGCTGGGGGCCGGCCAGGGCTGGGCACCCCCTGCCTGGGGCACTTGGCCTGGACACGCACCCCTTCTCCCAGGGGCCGGCGCTGAGGAGCTCTGGCGAGTCCTGCACGAGGAGCCGCAGCGCCGGCGGCAGGCGGCAGAGGCCAGGATGGGGCGGGCAGTCGCCGAGCAGGTGAGGGGATCCTGGGCTGGGGCGCGGCTTGTCCCTGCATCTGGGGTTGCTATGGGTGGGAGCGGGCTTTGACCTGATTCCGACCCCACAAAGGTGGTCCCCCCTCGGTGATTCTGCGGTAGAGTTACCATACATCCGGATTTACCCGGACATGTCTGGCTTTTGGGGCCTCAAATCCCCGTCCGGGAGGAAATCCCAAAAAGCCGGACATGTCCAGGAAAATAGGGAGGGAGGGGTCGTGGGGCTTGGGTCCAGGCTGGAGCCGCTGGGGCCGGCGGTGCTCGGCCAGGGCCAGTGCTGGTGCCAGGCCAGAGCCGCTCGGTCGGAACCGGGGCCTGAGCCGAGCTGGGCCAGAGCCGCTGGGACTGGGGCCGGGGTGCCCGAGCCACTGGGACCAGCGGTGCTCGGCCGGGGGCCAGGGGCCGGGGCCGGTGCGGGGCCGGGGGTGCTCAGCTGGGGGCCGGGAGTGCGGGGCCAGGGGCTGGGCGGTGCGGGGCCGGCGGTGCAGGGCCAGGGGTGCTTGGCCAGGAGCCAGGGCCGGGCCGGGGCTGGGGCCGGCGGCCGGCGCCCCAGGGCCCAAGCCGAGCTGAGTTGGGCGGGAGACGCCGGGGCCAGAGCCTCTTGGCCTGGGCCGGCCGGCCGCCAGAAGGAGCCGCTCGGCCGGAGGGGCTGGGCTGGGCTGGGCTGGGCTGGGTTGGGCCCCGCCCCAGCCCCAGCCCCAGCCCCAGCCCCAGCTTACCTGCTGCCTCCCTGTTTCATTTGATTCGCGGGAAGCAGGGGAGGCGGAGGAGCAGGGGGCGGGGCGTTCAGGGGAGGGGGCGGAGTTGGGGCGGGGACTTTGGGGAAGGGGAAGGGGCTAGGGGCGGAGTTGGGGCAGGCCCGGGGCCCTGTGGAGTGTCCTCCTTTTTTTAAATTAAAATATGGTAACCCTATTCTGCGGGAGCCACCCTGTCCCTGGCAGGGCACCACAGCTGTATGGGCTGGGGACCCGCATGTCCCCCCCTACATGAGGGCCCCATGCCCCTCCCCCACCTCGCTACATTAGGGCCCCCCGCCCCTCCCCATGTGTGGGTCTGTGCCTGTGTGTTGAGCTCTGTCTCTCCCCACCACCCCGTGGTGCCCTGCAGGTGCCCTGGCTGGGACGTGCTGCTCTCACGCCCAGGATGCAGCGGGTGGCACGGTGGAGGCGGCAGCTACATGTGATGCACCGGCTGGGGGAGCTGCACCAGGACGCAACCAGCCTGCTGCTGGCCAGGGAGCCGCTCGCCGACCTCAACGACAGCCAGGGGGCGCAGGGGCCGGCCCGCTATCTGCACAGGGCCCTCCAGGGAGGTGTGTGCGGCTGGCGGGGGTGATGGCAGAGGGCTCTTGGCGGCCGTGGGTGCATGGGTGGGGCCGGCTTGCTGGTGCAGAGCTTAGCATTTACTGTCAGGCAACGTATCCGGTCTGACGTGCAGCTCCCTGCCGGCGCGGGCACACATGTACACGTGTGTCTGGGGGTGCTGCATGTGCGGGCATGCACACCTGCATGTTGTGCAGGGATACGCGTGTGTCTGGGGAGTGCTGTGCGTGTGTGGACGTGCACATGTGCATGTCGTGCAGGGACACGCATGTGTCTGGGGGGTGCTGTGCGTGTATGGGCGTGCACGTGTAAATGTGCAGGGACACGCGTGTGTCTGGGGGGTGCTGGGCGTGTGTGGGCGTGCACATGTACATGTCGTGCAGGGACACACCTGTGTCTGGGGGGTGCTGTGCCTGTGTGGGCGTGCACATGTGCATGTCGTGCAGGGACACGCGTATGTCTGGGTGCCCAGGGAGTAGGCTTGTCCCCGCGGAGCCTGGCGTGATGTATCCTTTCCTGTGCTCTAGGTCGGTGAGCAGGGGCCTGCTGGCTGGTGCCCCACAGCCGATGCCCGAGCCAGCTGTGGGCGAAGCGTGGCCTGGGCCCCAGACTCCTGCTCCGTGCCCCCGCTGAGCGGGCAGAGACTGACGCACGTTCACCCCAAGCAGAAGCCTGAGTAAAGAGCCCTTGTCTGACCCGCTGCCAGTGCCGTCTGCCTGTGCTGGGGGCTGGGCAGACAGTGCTGGGGGGCCAAGGCCTGCCCCTGCCTGGCAGCCTGCAGCACGAGGGGAGGGGCTGGGCACAGGTGCCAGCGTGTGCCCAGGGAGATGGGATGTGTCGCCTGCGCCGCATGGCAGCGTCTTGGCTGGGCACTGAGCCGGTAGCAAATGGATCTGGCCCCCCGGGGCTGTACTCTGCCTGGCCAATGCCAGTCAATGCGCCAATGGGGCAGGCGGTGGGGAAGGGGCTGTGCCCCCCATTCCCTCTCACCTGCGCGCCCAGAGCTTAGGGCAGAGGGGCTGGCAGTGAACCAGGCCGTTGGCACCTGCAGTGAGAGCCGGCAGCTCTGCCAGCCCTGAGCCGAGGCCTTCCCCTTACGGGCATGCTGGAGCTAGCGGGCAGGGGTCCGCGAGCCCCTCTCTGGCCGGGCCCTCTGCTGGGGGCACCCACGTGACCAGGGGCTACGGGCAGGGGCGGTGAGTTATATGGGCCCGTGGTGCCCAGGCTCCAGGAATGTTCAGGGCCCCAGGGGCTGGGTCTCTCCCCCAGCCTCACCTGCCGCCCCTGGGTGATTTAAAAGGGCCCGGGGACCCCTGGCCACCACCGGCAGCTCAGCTGGGTTAAGGCTGCTTCCTCCCCGGCCTCGCTCCACGCTACTCCTGGAAGCGGCCGGAACGGACCTACGGCCCCTGGAGAGGGGGGGAGCAGGGGGTCTCCGCACGCTGCCCCCGCCCCAAGCGCCGACTCTGCAACTCCCATTGGCTGGGAACTGCAGCCAATAGAAGCTATGGGGATGGTGCCTGCGGCCCCCCTGCCTAGAAGCCGCTGCCAATGTGGGGTGCGGGTCGCCTTCGGGAGCTGCCCGAGGTAATCACCGGCCCCCTCTCCTGCACCCCAAACCCCTGCCCCAGCCCTGAGCCCGCACCTGCAAACCCCTCCCGCACCCAAACTCCCTCCCAGAGCCCGACCCTCGCACCAACTCCTGCACCAACCCCCAGCCCCAGCCCAGAGCCTGCACCCTGCACCCCCTCCAGCACCCCATGCCCCCTCCCGCACCCAAATTCCCTCCCAGAGCCTTAGGCAGGTGTGTGGGGGGGCACCACCAAAAATTATACAAACCTGCCGCCCCTGGCAGTGGGTATTGTG